GGGCCGCTGGCGAAGGGGCTGGGCCGCGCTGCATGGCAGGTAGACCCCGGATCGGCGGAGATGCCGCCGCCGCCACCCTCCGCCCAGTGAGCCTGTTACCGCCGGAGAGCGGCGGGGAGCGCCGGGCGGCCTGAAAGCAGCACGCTCCGCACACGGCGGCGGCGCGATGCTGACCAGGTGGCCCAGGCGGCTGCTGCAGCCCTGCGGGCGCAGTAAGAAGGTGGCGGGGAGGGGTTGGGGGGAGCATACACTGCCCAGCCGCACTGCGGCCGCGGTCCCGGTGCCTCGGGCGCCCGGCCGTGACTGGGGGGAGGCTGCGGCGCGACCGGCGCGTCCCGCCCGCCTCCACGGGGCGGAACCAGCACCCCCAGGGGCCCCTCAGCGAGGGCCTGAGGAGCCGGGCGAGGCCACTCTCACCGGCGAGGGGTGGCGACGGTGTTCCGCTAGAGAGCGGCCGGGGAGGGAGCCACTGATTTCCCCCCCTCCGTGCGTGCCGGCAGTGGGCCGTGCTAGTTTTCGCGGGCTTTTCCCTCTTCCCCTCACGGGTTCTCTCTCGCAATCCCTTTCCCCGCGCAGCAATGCCCTCCTCCGAGGCCGTCCTGCAGCCGTCCCCCAGCAAGAGGCAGAAGGGCTCGCTGCCTGAGGAGCCCACCGCGCGGCTCCGCTTCACCAAGCTGTCCGAGAACGCCTCCACCCCCTCCAAGGGCTCTGCTCGGGCCGCGGGCTACGACCTGTACAGGTGAGGGCGCCCCACCCGGGAGGGGCTCGCGCCACGCCCCGGCCATTTCCTCTCAGGGGGAGCCCGTAGCTCGGGGCTCCGGCGACTTATGGGGTGATTTCCACGGGTGGGAGTCGTGCTTCTGGCAAATCTAAGTTTTACAGTGGTAGGATGGGGAACTTTTGAGTTGTGAGCGTGTCACTGCTTCATTATCCTGGGAGGCAATGAGGGGGCAATGACAAGTTAGTGCAGGGAGGGTGGGCTAGAGTGCCAAATGTATCTGTTTTAACCAGCTGTTATTTTTTTAAAGTTTGTATTTCTCTTCAACTAAACCTAAATATAGCAGCACTATATAATCTAGGATCTTCTTGCCACCTTGAACAAAGACAGAAGGCCCAGAAACAAAAAAGAAAACGGTAGCGCACGTGGGCCCCCCTGCCAGCCCTTGCCTCGTGGCTTCTGAGCCAAAGGAAATGGTGGCGAGTTTGGTAACGCTGTTGGCCAGAAACCGTGTGGGGTGCTGCACAGAGTTAGGGTTTGGTTTGCTTGAACTGATAATAACCATTGTTAAAAGGTTTTCCCGACCTTCAGGAATATCTGCAGCTAGGCTCATGGTTGTTTGCATAGCGCTTCTGTGATCAAATACAACCACTATATCTGAAACTCCAGCTTTCCCCCTTTTTTAGTATTACTTAGAATAATCAGCCTGTCTTTCTCTTCCTTCACCTATCTGCCTTCCTTCCTGAAGCTTTGCTTCACCACACTTGGTGCTTTTCCTTTGTATTCGTTATGTCTTACACCAGGTTCATTTTTGTTCATGTTCCAGTGGTGCACTGTACACCTGGAAAAAGTCCGTTCCATAAAAAACTGTTCAGTGCTTCCCAGTGTTTAAAAATCAACTGTTTGTCAAGGCCAAGATATGCTTACCTTAAACAAGGAGAGCAGTCTCACTGTGGTATTTTCATCACTGCTTTTCATTAAGCCTCCAGTTCGGTACCTTCAAAAAGTTCTTAAAATCTCTCTAGTTTGCTGTTCCCAACAGAACCCTGTGAGTCGTGGACTTCTGACTTGCTCAGAACACAAACATGGTTTCCTAAAATTTAACGTAACAGATTATTATTTTTATTACAATTAGTGCATCTGCTGTTAAAAAGCTTAATCAGAAGAGTGTGTTATCTTTAAAATTTCTGCTTTTTCACAAAAGTCACACAATCCCATTCGCCTAATGAGCAATTTAAAGTTAAACTTGGGGGGTTTTGTCTATCTTACCAGTTAAAAAACATTTAAAACTAGCGATCTTGAGACTATACTGTTCAAATGACACTACTGAAATCTTAAGCAAGCATCATCAAAATGGGGATATATTGTGTTTTAGCATAAGCGTTAGATTTTGCAAACCTGTAAATATTTATTGTATAAGTTCCATGGTATAAATTCCCAGCAAGAATAATTCTGGGTAATTTTTACCTTGAGTTACAGAGAAGAAAATTTTGAAAATAGTCTAAATAAATTAGTGTTTCTTTCTTTAATGCAGTGCCTATGACTGTGTGATACCACCCATGGAAAAGGCTGTAGTGAAAACAGACATTCAAATTGCACTTCCTGCTGGATGCTATGGCCGAGTAGGTAAGTAAACAGGCTGTAAAAAGGCTGTAGAGTCATTGTAGAACAGGTTTGATGCCGTCTTCACATTTAGATTCTGCCTAAAGCTTTCAGAATTAGTCCCCACAGGGGAGAGGTGTCACGTGGCTGTGTGATTTATTAAGCCTTGTAATAGACATTTCTTGTCTAAAAATACATTTGAGGTTTGGTGCATGTCAAATGACAGAAAGGTGAGTAGCAAAAGTGCTCATAACCTATATACAACTTTATAGGCTATTCAATAGTTTGTTATTTCTCTGTGGTTTCAGAATTAGAATAAGACCAATAGGTAATGGACATAAAGGAAGTACCCCCCTGGATGTTCAAAAATTGAGCCTGAAGTAAGAGTACTAGAGTAGTAGAATTTGACTACTTTTTGTGACAGAATACTTGAGAGAACCCACATAAAACATTGTTATGTTTTGTGTATTCTTTTTCTGAATTATGTACAAATTCTTAAAGTAAAAAAAAAGCAATGCCAGTCCACTGGAAGAGTCCGATGAGAGTTCACCGTGTCTTTTTATCTAAAAGGAGAATGTGTGTGCATTTCTCTTATCCCAGACAAAATTTTGAAGAGAGTAACATTTTAGCAGTTCAAAGTAGGCTAACGTAAGTAAAAAAACCAAAAAACCAAAAACCCGAAAACACCCTCCACGTTTAATTTATCTGTGTATAATATTTCATAGTTAAGTGCTTGCCAAATATTGTTTTGCACTGTAATTTGAATAGATTGACCATTTGAGATGATTCCAAACCAGTGGTAGCTGCCAAAAATAAACTGAGATTAGATTAGTTGTTGTCTGCTCCAGCCACATTCCTTGGATAAACCTACTCTGTGGCTGCTGGTCTAATCAAAGATATGTTTATATCACTTAAAGATTGCAATTTCTATTGTAGCCTGTAGCAGCTGTTATTTGCTTTAATATATACGTTAACACTTACAGTAGTTCCTGTAAAATCATGCTTATTTTAGAAGGACTGTGGAAACAGATCTTGCTACCACGACTCTGTGCAAACACATTATTTAACCTATAAATATTGTGTAAGAGGTTTAAAATAAATAAATTACTATACTTAACAAAAAAAAATAATTTTGTTTTCTAGCACCGCGTTCTGGTTTAGCTGCAAAGCACTTCATAGATGTTGGTGGTAAGATTTTTGTTCTTTTTACTAAGACTTTTTAAATCTTGATTGCAGAACTGCCTTAATTTCACATTGTAATAGGTGTGAATAAAAAACGCGAGCTTTGTTGGTAGTCTGGCAAAAGGAGGTAACTGGGAAATACCTCAGACAGCCAGTGCCTCCTAAATATTTTGAAACCTGCTGAATTATAAAAAAAAATACTGTTTTTAAAAAAATATCAACTGTATTGTACTTTTGTAGGCGATACCTGGCATAAAAGTTATTTTTTGATGTAGGCTTCAAAGATGACTTCTTACATTCTGCTTTCTCCATTTGACTAAACATCTATGTGTGATTCTTTTCAGTCTAGTGTAGCATCTGAATGGATTAAATAAATAACACGCATATATTCTTTTACACAGAGAGAATATAGTAATGATACATATATAGGAATGATAAAAAGCACTGGAATACAGCTTTCCTTGATTATTAGGATGAAAATAGCTTTAGTTTTACTGATAAAACTATAACAAATTATGTAAAACAAGATTTATACTTGTAACTTTGTACATTTCTTGACTTAAAAATTGGAAGTCTTTTGAAACAGAAATAAAACTAAAACCCCACTTTCTACAAGTCTACAGGTTTGGTTTTTGTTCAGTACTAGCAATAGATTTCTTTTGAACAACGGGATTATTTTTTAAGTATTTTGAGCTTTTCTTCAATCTTTATTTGAAATTCACAGATACCTCCCCAAAACCAATTATTATAGACATATCTACAGTCAGAAGCCTTCATGAAAGCCTCACTATTCTTTTAGCATATCCCTGTTACTGCAGCATGAAGTAAATGAAGTTGAAAGTTCAATTCCAGCTTTGCCATGGACTGATTAGAGCACAGGCACATTCTCTTAGGTATTGTATTATAAAATGGTATCTGAATTGCACAGAAGTCCTTGCTGCTAAGATTATTGTGGAGTTATTCTGAGCACAGCTGTAACTACAGCAATTTAACTAGCACTAAATGTGTATGACATTGTTCTAATCGTACAAGAATACAGTTCTAAGTTAAAATGCTTTCTGCCTGCTAAAACTCTAAGCAATTGGTTTTTCTGGCAATAGATTGTAGTAAAAGAATGAAAAATTACATTTCTGATGTAATGACATAAAGATACCCGTGCATCTAATGGGTATCTTCTAAAGCGCCGGGTGGACAAGAGAGAGCACATTTTTTGCAAGCTTATTATAAATTGAGCCATAATGGCAGTTGACAAGAAAAGTGTGCTGGAAAGTTGAGACCTTTTCCACTTCTCTAGGTTTTTGGTTTGGGGTTTTTCGGGGGGGGTGGAAGGTTGTTGTTTGATTGGGTTTTTTCCCCCCCTCTCTGTTAAACGAGAGAGACTATTTGGAGCAGTGATACTCAGCCTTTACTTGCCTATAGGCTTGGCTCTGGAGGTGAGGAAGGGTAACTCTAGGCATCCTTCTCTTTCTGATGCGAAGCCAGCCAAAGAGCAAAGCAATTCCCAGTATAATTTAGAGCTGCTGCAGAACTACTTTTTTTCTGCCTGCTTTATGGCATATCAAAGCCTGGCTGTGCCTGTGATACTGTTCTGATATCAGAGGTTAAAGAGGAGCATCTGTGCCAGCTTTGTGTCATTTGGGCTTTGTCTTAAATAAGCATTGATCCTTGCATGTCTGTTACACTAAGGTTTTTAATTGTTGCTGGGTAACATACAAAAGAGCACTAAGATGGAAATCAAAGATTCTTCACACCCCTGTGACTCTATTATACATGGTCTACTATAGTGTGGTTCTTTAAAGCAACACTTCTAAATCAATTTTTTGTTTATATGAAAAAATATACATGCTCTGTAACAGTCTCTTCAATTCAGTCTGAAAGTTAAACTAGGAAATACCAGAAGGCAACGAGATGTGCTTAACAGGGTGACCTATGTTCTGATTTATAAAAGCTGACAGTTGACAAACCATGAGTAAAAATTATTACTGACAATTATAAAGGACTTATTAAAAAATATAGAACAAAACCAAAACAGTTCTTACATAATTATAACTTGTCCTGCAGAAATACTTTTGTCACAATGAGGGCATTATCCATTTAAGTAAAAATACATTGCCAGAAGTCCTAAGGGTCAGGGAGAAAAATTGGGATCATGCAAGAATATGTTCAGAATTCGCATCTGCTAGGTGTGGATGCTTTCCCAACCAGTGACACGCCAGACTTCTGACAGAGTATGATGGAAGGGCAGACTGCCAATTCCAATGCATGATTTTTCCAAAAATTGACTTAGGTGATTTCCACCCAATACATGTAACTTAGAAAAGTGCCTTAGTGCTCAGCAATGAGTATAATTATTGCAACTTGGTGTTGTGGAGTAACAGAATGCCAAGGATGTTAACATGTTTTGCCAGTACACCCTGTTACATGGAGTGAGTTTGTTACCCTACACAACAGGAAAACTGATCAGCTCTTCCTGGATCACATTTTCCTGTATTTTACAAGGATCTTTTAGTTTTTGCTATAAGTAGTGTAGCTTGAACTCAAAATCCTTATGGTGATTAAACTCCTTAAGACTATGTCAGTGGAGGTAGAATACATTTAAAGCAAAAATGATTGGTAGGAAACTAATTTCACAAAATCTTTACCCAGCTGTGCCTTTAATGGAATTTGAAGTTGTCACAGCTTTGACACTGTTTCAGTCACTCGGCACAGCATTAGACTACAAACTATATTTTTATGTGTTATTTTCTTAATACAAAACTTCAACTCTAAAAAAAGAAGTTCTGTTTGTATAGGGAATGCTTTTAAGGAAGAAGCCTGCTCTTCCTCTCTGCATCCTCTGGAAAGCCTTCATCCTCAGAAGTGTGCAGGAAGTGCAATTCTTACCTGCTAGAAAATATATCTGATACCATCTGTAGAACCATTACAAGGTGTTTACTTTATAGCTAATCTTAGAAAATTAGAGTTTTAGCGAGAGGATTTTTTTCTCCTCTAGGGAATAATAAGAGTGACTTCAGCCACAGAAACATTCATCAGTCTTTTCCACTTTCAGTTATCAGACAGTTTTCAAACCATAGACAGCCAGTCCCTAGCAGCCATCAAATAGGTGGTCAAAAGAATTTGGTATCTTTTCACAGAAGTATCTTATTTAAGTTGACAGCCTTTACAATGAATACTTATAAAATAAATTTTAGTGTCTCTATATAAAGCTGAGATTGTGCTAATGCTGTTGTTTAGAAGACAGGGAAGCCATCTGACTAGATTAATTGTAAATTAGTATAAATCCATTCTAACACTCCTTTCCAGAAAAAAAAAAAAGTTTAGGGCTTGAAAAGGGATAGAAGTACTAACAAGCCATTAAGCTCCAGTTACTCCAATACAAGCTAAGTTTTAGATACTCTTGTTTTTTCTTTTTTTCCTCTCTCCCAGAAAATAGCAGCAATGTCTTGTAGATCAAAAAGCTTCATTAGCAGTTAAGCACTAAGCAATACATCAAATATGATTTTTGTCATTATGTAGAAATAAACTTGCTCTCTGTCAGAGGCATGAAGGCAGAAAAGTTAATTTAGAATGATTTTTAAGTAGCCCCAGTTGTTCAGTTCTATAATTTCTTTTCTGGATAATTCCATCAAGAATGTGACATGCAAGAGTTTCTTGCACATATAAACCTAACCATACTACTTTAATAGGTACATTTTATATATATAAAAGCATAATCTCCATTTAAATAGAACTAGTAATCTGTAGTAATCAGTTTTGAGTATTGTATCAGAGCAGAATACGGTATTATAACAGAAATAAAACTAGCCCTCGTTATGTTAAATTAGCAAATTCCATTATCAATCTCTAATGCATAGCAATATCTGTCCCAGCATATGGTCTAGAAAAGTGTTGTTTTAGCTGTACAGAAACACTTGAGAATGATTTGTCAAATTAAGAATTTATCCAAAGAGCTAATGATCTTTTTATATGCATTTATGAGCATATATACATAATTTTATGTGCCAAACATGAATTCTGGCTTTCAGCTCTCCAGCTGATTGACACATGTGAACAAATGCACCAAATGTATGGGCAGCTGACTGCAGAACTTGCATGATGCTTAAAATTCTTTGTGCTGCCTTTACAAGTTTGTTGAATCTCTCTTTGTAGTGCATCTATGTAGTACAGGCTCGGTGTTCACTATTATATAAAACAAAGCAAATTATTTTATAGAGTCATAGGATTGTCTAGGTTGGAAGGGACCTTTCAGATCATCGAGTCCAACCATCAACCTAATACTGCCAAAACCACAACTAAACCAAAACCACCACTAAACCATGTTGCTAAGCACCATGTCTACCCATCTTTTAAATACCTCCAGGGATGGCAATTCCACCACTTCCCTGGGCAGCCTGTTCCAATGTTTGGTAACCCTTTCAGTGTAGAAATTTTTCTTAATATCCATCCTAGACCACCCCAGCACAACTTGAGGCCGTTTCCTCTTGTCCTGTTGCCTGTTACTTGGGAGAAGAGACCGACCCCCACCTTGCTTTAGTTCTGTTACCCTGCCGGAGAGATGGGATTTGGATCTGTGCAAATCCATAGCTCTCAAATAAGAGCTGTTAAAAACAGATTTCTGCTTGACACTCAAAGAGCTGAAAGTTAGCAGAACAAATGGAGCCTGAATTTGGTACAGCTGTCTTGATTTCAGATAGAGTATTACAACTAAAATTAGTAGTACAGTGGTAAAACACTTCTTGATATGTGACAATATTCAGTTGTTTTTGCAAGGTGGATTAGCATTTTTAGACATTTCAGTGTTTTCATATGTATTGCTTAATTGTGCATGAGTAAAGGATGTCAATATGAGATACTGCAATCATCTGCTAACCTAAACCAGCATTATCTAATATACCGACAGTGTTTATTAACTGGATATTCCTCTTAATTCTTTCTTATGACAGCTGGTGTTATTGATGAGGATTACAGGGGAAACGTTGGCGTGGTGCTCTTCAACTTTGGCAAGGAGACTTTTGAAGGTAAGTGTTAAGCTCAGCAGAGCCTGTTTTCAGCCATCTGACTGAAAATGCAAAATTATTTTTTCTTTAAAAGTCCATGAAGAGTTAGAATTAGCTGACACCGTTATTTTTTTTGTTAAAATTAATGAAAACATGGAAAGTTAACGATGTCCTCTCAAGGAAACAGGAAAAAATTCCATTCCTAGCAAATTAGGCAGCATGGAAAAAAAAACCCAACCCAAACCCACCCAAGAAAACAACCAACCAAAACCAACCACACCAAAACAAACAAAAACCACCCCTGCTTAGCTAAGCTTTAGATTCATGAGCTGTACCGAGGTGCAACTTTGTATTAAGCTACTTTCTTGCTCTGGAAAAAAAATAATTATCTAGCTGAGCGGTATGTGAGATAAAAACTTCTCCAGGATCCTGGGAAACATGAGTAATAAAGATAGAATCTTCCCTTAATCATGCTGTCTTTCTGCAAACAGTGAATTTTAAGTGTCAGGACCCAGTTACAATATTGCCGGTGTTTTTGCAGCCTTTTCTGCAACTTCACAGCACAAGCTGCTTAGGAGAGTTCTGTGAACCAGATTGGGTACTAATCAGAAATTTTGTTTTCCTTTTATCAGTTCAGGTGATTGCCCCAGAGCAATCAGTTCCTGGGTCTAGTTCACAAAAGGAACCACGTTACATACAGACAGCTGTCTCCATCTCTGCACCATTTATGCTTAATGACACTAAGGATGCCACAACACGGAAGCAGGAAAGAGGGGAGATGCCTTGAGCTGGTGCTGCTGCTGAAACTGCACCTTAAAAGGACTAAGCACAAGTTTATCTTAGGCTGGATTTTTCTGGGGCCATTAGCATTTGCTCAACTAAGTTTCAAGTAACTGTTTACACTTTAGTACATTCTGATACTGTTGAAAGGGAATTGTCTAAATTTTGTGTTGACTGTTCACTTTTTTGGAAAGAACTAATAATGTCTTAACTTCATTGCAGTTAAAAAAGGGGACAGGATTGCCCAGCTCATCTGTGAACGTATTTGCTATCCCGAGCTAGAAGAAGTTCAAGTAAGTTGCCAGAAGAAAAATATTTCTGCTATTTTGGATAATCAATAGTTTAAGATAGTTGTATATAAGCTGAAATTTATGGTATAGACAAATACTTTGCTTTACAACTACTTTCAGTGTTAAAACTACATAGTAGCATTGCTACCTGAATAGAAATCGTGACACTTCATGCATCTATGTGGATTTTTACTTTTTTTAGTAGCTTTCAGAGTTAACGGGTACTTACGGAACACTTCAGTATATAACAGAAAACAGTTGTCTCACAATGTGTGATTTGTTTAAATTTTCGTTTAGTTTCTCAGTTATAGCTATTGGTATGAGTAAATGTACCTTCTATAATAGACAATATCTGTTGTATAGAAACAAAAGACAAGTTAAGACACTAAACCAATTTATCATAATTGATGTCTTTCAGACTCTAGATGATACAGAACGTGGCGAAGGTGGCTTTGGTTCTACTGGAAAGAACTGAAAACTTTGAATATGCTTTCTATATTTTTTTGTTATGCTATTTCTAAATTTTTGATTGAATTAGAAGTGGGATTTTGGAGTACATAGAAATATGTCTAAGTTTTATTCAGACTCTTCTGTTCTCCTGTCTACTTTTACAGGCAGTGAATTCATCTGCATTATGGTTCTGCATTAGTTGGTGAATTATTTTTTCTTTTTAGATGTTTGGTTCTCAGTAATAAAGAACTCATTGTTTATGTGCTGTTGTACTCTAATAAATTAAAGAGTAACTTAATGATTTGATTTTATTTTACTCACCTAACCTAAAACGGATGATTGTTCCCTTGCCAGTTTGTGCTACTCTTCTGGAAGCTCTTCCACATAGCTCAGTATTTCATGCTGATAGCCTATTTCATACAGAATCCGTGATAATACAGCTAATTGATAGAACTTCCCACTCTGACCCCTAAGTCAGAATAAGGTAAAGATATTTAATATTGCATCTTCTACAACCTGTCAAAATACCTGTGTTTCTGTTCAAAGCTAAAGTTCTGTCTTTGATCCTTAACTGATCCTCAAACAGCCAATTTTTCAGCTCTGTTAGAGAAGCAGACAATACACTGAGTGAAATAACACTTATCTCGAAATAACTTATATATAGTAAGTAAATAGTATGAAATATGCTGTTGAAATATTTGTTGACAAATTAATAAGTTACTGTATGGAAGAAAGATTTTGAATTATCGAAGCAGTGCATGAATTGTTTTTTTCAGTTCTGTTTTGACCAGTTAACATAGAACCCTTCTGGAATCTGTCCAGAACCCAATTGTTTCTTTAAGTGTGGGAATCTCTTAAATAACTCAAAAGCTTTCAGGTGAAAGAACATGCACACAAGAAAAGGAACAAAAAGGAAAGAATCTTGAGTATTTTGCCACTTTACAGAAAAGAATTAGAAAAAGGTGTGAGGCTCTCAAATACAGTTTTTTTCCCTGCAGCTCTCTCTATTCTCTTTTTAGATTTTCTTAGCTGAAGGGTCACAAGTATGAAATACTTGGCTTTAAGGAGTGTTTCAGCAATGGAAAGGTAGGTGTTTTTGTAGAGTAAGATGTTTCACAGCATTCTCCTCCTTGATAGTCTCAGATCATAATAGTCTTGTTGGTATTAGTTGTATGTCCTTGTCTAGGACTAACTATTTCTAGTGAAACAGGCCCAAAATACTGCACATTTAATACATCTTACCCCCTCTTCCCCAAGGAGCTGGAAAATAAAGTGTAATATGACAGCATTCAGATTCCTTCAACCGTAGGATAGTCATTGCATTGACTTGGCAATGCTGAAGCAGCAAGTACATTCATCTTTGGCTAGGGTAGAGGTCTTTCCCTCCATAAGCTTATATATGTTATATGCTTATCAGTTTTTTGGGTTTGGTTTGTTGGGGTTTTTTTCCTCACTACACCCTTATCACAACACTGTACTTGACATCCATAAACCCACATCTCCACACACAGGCTTACCACCCAAAAGCCGATTGTAAGCAAGAAGCACATCATACCAGTGAAGTTTTAAATGACTTGGAAAAGCTGATCTTGACACTGAGTTTTTTCTGTTCTATAACCTGCCAGAAGGGAACTTCCATTACCAAAGGTTACTCAAAGGTCTTAAAATAACTATGATCCTTTTGTATAAAGCTGTTTCCACTTGTTAGACTGTAAGTTTAGAGCAAGTTGCTCCTCTTGTCTTCCCTCCCCATCAAAAGCAAAATACCAGCAGGGGATGCACTGATGCAAGTGCTTTTTAAAAGATACTACAAGATGATCTCACTTGGAAGAGCAACCTACAAGGAAAAAGTTTTAAGTTTTGTTGATACTTATCATTTGTTGTACCTGTTGGAAACTGATCTAATTTCCATTTTTGAAAGCAATACTAATACTCCAGATTCTGAGATAAGAAGAAATAGAATTTGCTAGAAAAAGCACTCTCTCAGACATACGAGAAAGAAACATAAATTTACAAATCCATGCCTGCTGTTAAGTTCTCCACAAACAGACCTTATAGTGTCATCACCAAAAAAGGCTTACGTATTTTGAAAATTGGTATAGTTGAGTTCCTTTTCATAGTTTCTCAATACTTATCTAAAGAAGTATGTAATGAGTTGAAGATTGCTGCAAGGCTTTTCCCGGTAGGACCCTGGAAAAGTCTGTCTGCAACAATAGCAATGTTTCCAATCTCACCTCTACACTGAGTCCTCCCTGTGCATCAAACCATTGCACTAGGGTAACACATTCTGATAATTCCATTTATAGCGTTGGGATTTTGCTTCAACATGAGTAGCAAGTCTGTAGAAGACAAATACTTGTAATCAGGCAACAAGAGTTATGTACCTATGTACTGAAAGTTCTTAAGTCGATACTATTACAGAGCAGGGCCTGTATAAAAACAATTTTTTGTATTGGTAGCAAGTAGAGAATTCTTACAACAATATTTGTTACTCTCTTGTTCAAACCATGTTGCCTGCATCTCCCCTTCTTTTTTTTTATTTTTTAAGAAACTACTACAATTTCATTAATATGAAAAGCAATACCCTCCAAATTATTTTAATGTTCCCTTTTCCCATTATTAACCAGCTATGCTACAAAAATATTTTATCTTTGTATCTGGCAAAGAAACACAGGAGGCACAGAACAGTATCTGTTGCGGAAGCCGTTTTTCACCTTCACCCGGCTCTTACTCATAAAATTCACCCTCTCCCTGTTACCAAGGGGAAGAAGATAGACCGGCAATTCTTCAGCAAGGTTTAAATTTCCCTCCTTATAATGGTAACATCTTAAGATTTAATTAGTACATTTGATCCCGCTTTAAACAAAAATCAAAACGTTTAAGAATTTTCATATTAGCAAAAGGAGAAGACTGCAAAACATGTTGATCTTGTTTGTTACTCTAGCTGCCTACATTAACTAGTTGTAAATAAGTTTGTAATTTAATGAAAAACTGGCCAAGCATGTCATTGACTGAACAACATCCTTGAGGGAGTAACCCCATGAGCAGCTAGACACTAACATGGATAGGTCTTACGTCCATCTAGACAGATTCATGTCTCCAGGACCTGTCACTGAGGTGTGGTCCCCAGGGCTCACTATAGGCATGAAATTGAGGAGAGGTAAAGAAGCAAATCAAGTCCAAAGTGTGCTATTTGCAAAAAAATGAAATGAAAATTACATTACGTAAAAATTATGTTGGACTGCTCTCCGTTACCACTGAACAGGTTCAGACAAAGCTCTTTAAGTTTAGACTGTCAACTAGTATTGTAGAAGGGACATGTTGTCTCCAAGAGGAGTTAACTTAAGCTTGGGGAATGATTTTGTTGAACAGCCTCTGTGTAAAAGGAACATGGAGCTTTTATAATGGAAAATAATTTGTTGGGAGTTCTCATCTACAGCAGAAAATGGCTTTTTCCTGCAGGGAAAGGAAAAGGACATTACTAACTAATAATCTGCCTCCTTTCTTTTAGAAATGGATTTGATTTGTTATAAATAGAAGAGAAAACCTGACCTTCAGCCCCAGGTAAATTTGGATGAGAACGCTAACTTTTGAATTCAGATGCTTGGCTCCAGATTCCCTCCCATTGTTTGGGTTCTATTTTGAGATCTGAAAGGGTTCTATTTCCTAATTTGTAGTGAAACACATATGAATGACAGGTTATATTCCCTTACTAAGGCAGAAGCTGATGAGGGTCTTGAAGGAACAGGTGATCATTAGACAATTTGTGCTATTTGAACTCTCCGCTTACGGACAAAAATCTTAAAAGAAAGATTATGGTAATGATACCATGGATCTTTAGTCCTTTTCTTGGTTCCCTGAAGTATTAACCTAGTCTTTAATGGCTGTGAATTTAGCACTGCTTCCTCAGTTCAGCTACTACATAGTCTGTGGCATGTTAAGAACTTTTTGGATCTATTTGATGTTTTTTAGTACATCAGCCACTAGATGGCACTTGAAGTTTGCTTTCTTTTCCACTATTTTTTCCAGAGGTATTTTTCAAAGAACTGTTCATCTATAATTAAGAGTTGATGACTCCCATTGGGACTATGCTGGCGGAAAGCAAGATGCAGCAATATTTGAGTGAAAGCAGGCAAAAGTATAACCATTAAAGAGGGAACAATGACTATAATTTAAATAAGATTTGGGTGGTTGCAGTGTTTGCATAATCCCTCCTGGCATGCAAGAGCGCTAGAGAAGCCTGTGGCTTTGCTCTCCTGCTGTGTTTCAACAAAAATGGAAAATTGTAATGAACAGCAACATTTTTCCTATCTTTCATATTCGCTCTCTTCTCACTCCCCCTTCCTCCATTCCTTTAAGTGGAATGCAGTCTACTTAAGGATTGCATTGTAATGAAAGTATAGCTTGGTAAACTTTGCATTGGATTCTTCAAATCAGATGCCTCTTGCTGCAAGTTCAGGACATAAATTAAAACTTATTTAATATGTGTTAACCCAGTAGCGGCAGGTGACTCATAGTAACCTGAATTAGGTGAATTTTTATGAAGGTTCCCTAGTTTCTTTATTGGTTGCTACTCCTGTAATAGCATAGTCCAGTGCTCTTGTATTTGTTTTCCCTCCCTTCCCCCCTTCTATTTTTTTTTTTTTTAAATAACTATCATTGTACTTTGGCTTAAAGATGGTTAAATAAATTTCGGTATTAAGTAAACTTCTATGACCCTGCCTATTTCCTGTCCTGTCAAACCTTTCCTTGTAAGAATAACAGTGTCCTTTTATTTGGTGGAGTGTAGCATGATGTTTTTGGCAGGCCCAACATTTTTGACTTGCATAAATTTGTGACCTCAAGTGCAAGAAAAGTGAATGCTTGCTTCAGTGCCTCATGGTTTCTGCCTAAAAAGAAAAGTGTCCACATCACTAACCATTACAATTTCTGAAGGAAAATTATCAGCACACTTATTCCACCTGATTGCACATGACTGCACTTCCAAAGAAAAGAATCATAAATAAAAATAAGTATTTTGCACCTAGTTATGTAAGGCACCAAAAGTCTGAAAATATAGGGCAGACTGTACTCCTTACGGGTTTCTAGAATTGGCACAAATGGCACTTCCCTTGCTAACAGCTATTTGGCAATCTCTGCGGCAGCAAGGATGTGATTCTGCAAAGTGTAAATTTGGGTCTGCTGCTGGGAAAAGAATGTCACATTGCATGGTTAAAGGTTGCAGGATCAGGTCTGAAGTGAATTAATGTAATTATTTTCCGAAACTTTCCCTCCATTAACTGTGTGGTTATTTAGCTC